CACTTGAGTATGACAAGTGCACTTGAGTATAACAATGGCTGGGTGAGGTTGGTATAAATGTCTATTCTGCACAAGGTACAGACAAGTCTGGTGGGATCCATTCCTGGTCCATTTTAATAAACGTGAGCTTGTCCATGTTAGCTGTGGACAGGCGGCTGTGCTTGTCTGTGATAACCCCCCTGCCGTGCTAAACACATGTTCAGACAATACACTGGCTGCAGGGCAGGCCAGCACCTCCAAGGCATAAAGGGCAAGCCCAATTTGGAGAATCAGATGGGAATGCCCTCAGCAGCGTGTCTACCAGCGTTCGCTTGTAGTCACACATCTTCTGATCACGCTCCAGTGAGGGAATTAAGGGCGGCATGTTGTCCTTATAACAGGGATCCATCAGGGTGGCCACTCAGTAATCAGCACAAGTTAGAATGTGGGAAACTTGGCAGTTGTTGCGCAGGCACTGCAGCATGTAGTCGGTCATGTGTGCCAGGCTGCCCAGAGGCAAGGACAAGCTGTCCTCTGTGGGAGGTGTATCGTCTGTGTCCTCCGTATGCTCCCAGCCACGCTGAGCGACTGACCCATGCGTGCTGCATCTGAAACTTGACCATCGTCTGCTGCTGCTTGCACAGTCTCTGCAGCATGTGCAAGGTGGAGTTCCAACTTGGTGGCACATCACATATGAGGCGGTGAGTGGGAATGCCGAAGTTACGCTGCAGCACAGACAGGCGAGTAGCAGCAGGGTGAGAACGCTGAAAGAGAGCATAGACGGCCCACACTTTCTGCAGCAGATCTGATATATCTGGGTAATTTGTCAGGAATTTCCGCACCACCAAATTCAGCACATGTGCCAGGCAAGGGATGTGCGGCAAACCGGCTACGCCCAGAGCTGCTATGAGATTTCGCCCATTATCGCACACCACCAGGCCGGGCTCAAGGCTCAGTGGCAACAACCACTCATCGGTCTGTTGTTCCATGCCCGTCTACAGCTCCTGCGCGGTGTGGGGTTTTTCACCTAAACATATGAGTTTTAAAACAGCCTGCTGTCGTTTCACCCTGGCTGTGCTGAAGTTGGTGAGGTGGTGGTAGAGGAGGAGGAAGCGGAGTAGGAGGAGGAGGCAACAGGAGGCAAAGAGAAATGCCCTGCAATCCTTGGTTGCAGAAGGACACTCGTCAAACTGCTATCCGCCTCAGGCCCAGCCACCACTACATTTGCCCAGTGTGCAGTTAGGGAGATATAGCATCCATGCCCTTGCTTACTGGTCCACATATCTGTGGTTATGTGGACCTTGCCACAGATGGAGTTGCACAGTGCACACCTGATTATGTCCGCCAATTGGTTGTGCAGGGAAGGGATGGCTCGCCTGGAAAAGTAGTGGTGGCTGGGAACCACATACTGTGGGACAGCCACCGCCATCAGGTTTTTAAAACTGTCCGTCTCCACCAGATGGAGACGGACAGTTAGCATTTCAAAGGCCAGGAATTTTGAAATGCTGGCATTCAGGGCCAGGGATCGCGGGTGGGTAGGGGCGTACTTCCTCTTTCTCTCCAGTGTTTGGGAGATGGAGAACTAGAGGACTGAAGAACTGCAATGCTAGGGAACTCCTTGTAGCTGGCTTTGGTGTGCTCGGCCCCTTGTTGCGATGGGCAGTAACAGGCGTACCATCTAGGGAATGGCCACTCAATCTCTTCCACTTCTGGGGTAGGGCTAGGTGGATGGCCCACGGAAACCCCGCCAGCAGAGTCATCAAAAAGCATAAGAGACTGCTGCATGACTTGTGGCTCAGACTCCTATGCTGATTTGCAAGGGGGTGAGGTGAAAGACTGATGGCCATGGGCTGCAGGTGCCAACTCTGAGCTTTCAGCAGGGGGCCAGGTGGGAGACAAAGTGCATAAACTGGAGGCACTGTCACCCATCCAATCTACTATCGCCTGTACTTGTTCTGGCCTAACCATTCGTAGAGCAGCATTCGGGCCTACCAAATAATGCTGAAAGTTTGTTTGCCTACTCGTACCTGAGGAAGGTGTTTCACTTGTGCGTGTAGCTGGCACAGATCGACCACGTCCTCTCCTTACAACAGGAGCTCCACAAACACCAGCAGCACCACGACCAGGGCCACGTCCCTTATTTGACGCTCTCCTCATTCTTTGCTTTTACCAAACAAACTGGTTTATGTCAGACGACAATGTAACCGCCAATAGTAAAAAAATATATATATTTTTTTTTGTTTATTGGACTGCAAGAAATGCACCGCAGGCCGCAAATATACTATTTAGCAGTTTAGCACCAAAACAATTAGAATGTTTACAATTGCTCTGTAACCATAGTATTTGACGCTTCTATTTGACTCTCAGATATGAAGTGCAGGCCGCAAATGTACTATTTAGCAGTTTAACACCAAAACAATTAGAATGTTTACAATTGCGCTGTGACTGCAGTATTAGACACTTCTATTTGACTCTCAGATTTGAAGTGCAGGTTGCAAATGTAAATGTAAACATTAGTAGATAAGCAGCAAAACAATTAGAATGTTTACAATTGCGCTGTAACCGCAGTATTAGATGCTTTTATTTGACTCTCAGATATGAAGAGCAGGCCCCAAAATTTACTATTTAGCAGCTGAGCACCCAGAAAATAAGAATGTTTACCACTGCCCTGTAAGCACACTATTAGATGCTTCTATTTGACTCTCAGATATGAAGTGCACGCCCCAAAATGTACTATTTAGCAGATTAGCAGCAGAACAATTAGAATGTTTACCACTGCGCTGTAAGCACACTATTAGACACTTGTATTTGACTCTCATATACGAAGAGCAGGCCCCAAAATGTACTATTTAGCAGATTAGCACCCAGAAAATAATGTTTACCACTGTGCTGTAAGCACACTATTAGACACTCCTATTTGACTCTCAGATGTGAAGAGCTCGCCCAAAATGTACTATTTAGCAGATTAGCACCCAGAAAATAAGAATGTTTACCACTGTGCTGTAAGCACACTATTAGACGCTTCTATTTGACTCTCAGATATGAAGTGCACGCCCCAAAATGTACTATTTAGCAGATTAGCACCCAAAATATTTTACGTTTTAAAACTGCAATGTTACATCAGTATTTGACGCTTCTATTTGACTCTCAGATATGAAGTGCATCCCACTAATGTACTATTTAGCACGCAAAAAAATTGACTTTTTAAAACTCTGATGTAACCTCGGTATTCGAAGCTTCTATTTCACTCTCAGATATGAAGTGCACCCCATCCCACTAATGTACTAGTTTGCAGAATTATTTCCTAAGCTGTCCCTCACAGCTGCAGCATCCTCTCCCTACACTAATAAGACCCCGTGTGTGCGGCGCTACGCGACTCCAGCTTATATATATAGAGGCTGGGTCACATGCTGCACTGGCCAATCACAGCCATGCCATTAGTAGACATGGCTGTGATGGCTTCTAAGGGCACACGAGTCAAATGCTTGTTGATTGGCTGTCCTGCAGCCTTTCAAAACACGCCAGTAAATCGCCAAACACCGAACTCCAACCCGAACATACAGTGATATGTCCGTGTTCGGGTCCGGGGTCCAAAAAACCTAATGTTCGGTACAAACCCGAACTTTACAGTCTGGGTTCGCTCAACTCAACTAATCTGTAAAACTATCAAATCGAGAAACAAACTATATGGGGAATCATTGTAACATCTTGACATGCTAATTTGGTTTGTTATATCAAGGATGATGAACTCATTTGTTTAATATTTTTTTGATACTTATAAAATTTGTAAAAGTATAATAAAAATGAATAATAAAAAAAAGAGACTGTCCCTTTGTCTCCCAAGCACAAAAAAAGCCTGCCAAACTAGCCCACAAAGTGTCCCCATCAACCTCAGGTGACCTCACACTGGCACATTCTCTGAGCAATCTCTGTTCGCAAGACTTCTGTGCTGAAACCTGCAAGGGAAGCGTCTCCTTTTGGGGTACGAATGCTCTCCCTGGTTGGCTTTCGTTTATATGAAATGGCGGCCACCCAGAGGAGCACTCATTAATTACTTCCCTTGAGGTTTCACACTTATGTTGCTAGTGCGAATGTTGCGATTTCACACTTCTGTTGTTAGTGCGAACATTCTAATTATTTGGTGGGAGCGTTCTAATGGGGCACTGGAGTGGTCCTCATTCGAGAGATGAAGGAGTCAGGAAACAATCCCTGGCTGGCGTTCTTCTATACAAAATGGCGGCCACCCAGGTGAGCGCTCATTAATTGATTCCCTTATGGTTTCGCAACAAGGTTAGAGGTGTGAACGTTCTAACTAGCATTCTACATGGAATATTGGGGTGGTCCTTGTTCGGGAGACAAAGAATATTTCTTTCATATGAACACTCCCAAACGGGGAACAGGGCACACTACACAAAATGCATAGAATTACAGGGGTAACACAGTAAAAGCACTCAATACCAGGGGGAAAGCACCCGAACAAGCAGTGGTTCCTCCACAATGTGGATTGTATTAACAGTTTCATATAAAATACAGACTGCATAGATATGATTGT